ACTCAATTCTTTTGGGTTCTGCAATAGACTTTTAAAAGTCCACACTTAGGCATGCCAAATTTTACAGACATCTTCATTTAAAGTAGCTTACAGCTAAACTCATGACTTTAGTGTCAGTGGTTATGACTGACTCAGGAATGGGGAATTGTTAGTCAGACTTATGGTAAAACATTATTCACTCTAGTAAGGATACTTGAATTTGTGATTAATCCAGTCATGGGTTGTGGTATAACTTCCACTCAGATCGGATGCTGCCAGTGTGGGATAACCTGAAACTTGGCAGTGTTTCGCACTGGCCTTCCCTTCTCTGGAGGATTCGGTCTCGTGACACAGTTTCCTCTGCCTAGGGTGGTTTTTGGTCCAATCTTCCCTAAAATGGGGAATCCACCTCCTATAAACTGCAAACTTTCTTTCTAAGGCTATTCTTAAAAGTCCAGCTGTGGGAAGTGGGAACAATGACAGCACTTCCCTCATTACAAACAAGAGTGTTAAATCCCAGTGAGGGAGGGGAGAAGAGACCAAAGATAGGAGACCTAATTCTTTCCGCTGACAGAGAGAAGCTGACACGGCATCTGAGAACTGAGGCTCTTTAATTAACTTCCCTCAATTGTTAAAACATGTTAAAATATTGCTAAAAATAAATGTAAGGACACCAGGAAAATATTCTAAGACTTTCCAGACCCACTAATGCATAAATTATTTAGCTGAAGGCTAAGTATAGTCAGAAAGCCTGGAGAAAATCCCTCTGTTTGTATTACTGGTTTATCTCATGTTCAGTAGGTTAAGCACAGTAAAGAGACAGGCTGGCCCCTCCACCAGAGGAAAGTGAAATGAACTATTCTAATTTTTCCTGGAGAGCATGTAATTAGGTTTTTGTTTGTTTTTTATTTTCTCCACATTCCGAAACACAGGTGAGTGCAAGGGCATGAACTCACTGTGGCAATGGCATGAAAAATCCTAACACGGCTCTGCCCTGCTCTCAGCTGGGCCTCAACACGGTTCCACACACTAATTTTTTAGCATCTTGTCACAGTGAAATAAAACTCGCTAATTAAAACCAATTGACCAGCAAAGATAAATGTATTTTCTCTCATTTTACCATGAAGCTAGTGAAATATTAACTCACAGGCCCATCTACATGGCACCACACAGGCCTTGCATCTCTATAGTGTGACACAAAGTACTTTTTTGGTGACAAAGCAGAGGCAATGCATTCTAATAGTTGCCAAGCCTTCCTAGAAAGTGTTAGGAGGGCCTCCCAAAGAGAATTCTACCAATCACAACTAGACTCCTTTCAAGACAACTATGTATTTTAACATTAGCTCCAGGTCCCGACCCATTGCCATCATCCTCTCCGATACACGGCCAGAGTTCTTTGATGACTGAACAAGCTCACCAAAGGTAAAGTTGTAGAGCAAAAGAAATCTGCAATTTGTCAGCCCTGGTGTTAGATGGCCACACTTCCTCATGGGTTTGTTGTCCACTCTCCTCCCCTCAAGGCTTTCTAAACCTCCCTTGATACAAGTTTCACTTTCCACTCCTGTTGATTTCATCTCATCTCCTTTACTCACTTCCCTTCTTCCCTCCAAGTTCTCTCTCAGTTTACTTTCTTTCCTCTCACCAGAGGGACTCCCTCAGAACTCACTTGTCTCATAACTTGACCACCTCTGCACGGATGATGCCCAAATCCATAACAGCAGGCTTGTCCTGAACATTAAGTTGCTATTTCCAATGGCCTTCTGGAATCTATTCCACACTTTCTTCAAACTGAACATATCCAAACTCTCTCTCTGTCTCCACCCCAGCTCTGCTGTTCTTCCCTATTTCTTAACACAGTCATTGGTGCCATCCACCATGTAAACCTTGTGTGCAGAAGAGTCCACACAGCAGACCTGAGACTGCTATCCTTAGACAGTCCGGCTGACAAGGCTGGCCCTTGGCTGGCATCTGGAGACTTGGCTAGCAGTTTCCTACGCCGATATAAAACTTTTCCCTAAATGATAAGAATGGCTCGCTGTGCCTAAACTGTTTGTACAAACAATGTGATTTATGCGGAATGCCTGTTTTCCTTCTGGAAGTCTGGAATTTTGGTAAATGCTGGGCAGAGGATATCAATGAGACTCTCTCACTTAAAAGCCTGGGTGAGTCTCTGATAAGCTGCCCCACAGACAACACTTCACATTGTTGTCACAGCTCGTTGCTAGAGGAATTAGGCTCATCCTGTGTGAGTCCACTGAGAGGACTCTTGGAAGCTCACACCTAGTTTCCTTTGTCTTCACTCCATCTTCCTTTCCCTTTGCTCATTTTGCTATATATCCTTTTGCTGTAATCTTAGCCATGAATATGACTACTGAGGAGCCTTGTGAGTCCCTCTAGCAAATCACTGAAACTGGGGTGGTCTTGGGAACCCCTGACACATCTTAGTATAATTTTTAACTCTCTTTTCTTCTCCTCACCCTCTGTGTTCAATTGATCACCACTTATCATTAGCTCTACCTCTAAATATATAAAAAATACATCCCATGTTCTCCTCCCTTACCACCTTGATGCTACAACTTTGACTCCATGTGGATTCCAGTGTCCTCTGCTTCCCTGCATTAAAAAAAGCAAAACCCCAAGGTCGAAGGACAGCACCAAGCAGACACTATGAGGGAGGTTATCTCTCAAAGCCAGTTTCTGCAGCTGCAAGGTGGGATAATGACAGTGCCTGTTTCATAGGGTTGTGGTCTGGGTCAATGAGAAAATGCATACAAACTTTATGAGATTGTCTATGTAAAGTGCTTAGTACACAACAGTCCTTCAGCAAACGTTATCTGCTGTTTCTACTGTTATCACTAATAATCTGCAGCCTCCACCGGGTCACTACCTGTGAGGTTCAGCCAGTTCTAGCACAAAACCACTTTTTATGAAATTAGGACCCCAGCTTCTCACCCCTATAATGTGCAGTGCAGGCCCACCCTGAAAAGCAGGCATCTCCATTGGACTCCAAGTAGCCTGGCATTTGGGGGTGCTCTTTTCTTCGGAGTGGGTGCCCCGGTGCAGGCGGAATGATGAGACAGCTTTCTTGCAGCTGCAGAGGGTGCATGGAGCAGGGGAGGAAGCCAGAATGGCCAGTTCTCCAGATTCCTGATGTTATTGCTGCAAATATTTGTTTCTAAACAAGAAGTTGTACAAAACCATCAGTTATTTCAGAAGAAAAAGCCACTGTAGAGAACTGAAGAGCCAGAAGGATAATAGATAATAAAAACAGAAATTAAGATGTTCTCAGACACACACAAAAGGTCAACGTGTGAGGTGGTGGACGTGCTAATTAACTAGATGGGAGGGATCCTTCCACAATTCTACGTGTATCAAGTCATCACCATGTACAGTGAGGAGTTTCTATTTATCATCCGTGACTATCCCAGGAATTTTTGTCTGAAGGGAAAACCTTTTGGGATCATCACAAAAGCTCTCCACAACAGAAATAATGAAATTGTAGGTCCATAAGTAACATAAAGCTTAAACGTCTAGTCAGGATTCCAAATATCAATGTATTTATCAACAGAGCTGAATTATTCACTCTAAAATCCCATGCTATTAAAAATCTCCTAGAAATAACTTCTGATTAGAAACAAACAGAAACAGCAGCAAAGGCAAACTGGGTAGATGTTAGCTTTATTTTGAATTATAACACAGAATATGACATCAAACAAATAGATGTAATGAAAAACTTTTGCGGTTCAATTAAGCAAATGGTTTGCATGGGAATTTCTAGTGCTAACTCTCAGGACGCAGAGCTCATCGAATTGTAAATTAGATTAATATAAAACAAGAATCATCCACCTGTGTGCAAAATAAACACATTTTAAGTTTAAATAGCAGATCTTTTGCTCAGTCTTTGGTGAGTGATTAATACAATCATCTTCCCGCCTACGGGTAATATCGTAATCTCATCTGGACCGAATGCGATCCTTCTAAGCTGGAGAGCTCTTACCCACAGTAAGAAGGCCTCCATTAAACATTGTTAAAGCTATTGGATTCATTTTTATGGACCTAATACTGATTAAGAACATTATCCACCTAAAATGGTCTAATGCATAGGCCAAGGACAACACGTTTGACAAAAAGCATTAAGTTTGTGATTTCATCCCATTTTGTCTTTTGGAACTTTGTTATCAGTACCCATAATACTGTTTTGATTTATGTGAGTGATGAGCAACCATTTTTGGCCTAAGGGCTAACTAAGGCGAAAAAATGTAAAGCATATAAGGCCACATTATTTTCCTCTTCAAAATGAATATAGCTTGATGAAATTCCCATGGGGAAAAATGTGTATTTGTACAACTTTGCTAAATAAAAGTCAATGAGGAAATTGGCACACTTTTTATCTACTAAAATGTTTATATCTCAGTGTTTTAGCAATACAGACAGAGCTTTCTAATTTTTTATCCTGAAATTAAACTGCAGACTTTTTGCATGGCTAGTCAGGCTGTGGGCATCTCTGGGCTCTCAGGGCTGCACATTACTGGTGTTGTTTGTGATAGTGATGAACATAAGCTGATTCAATTTGTTGACTAACTGTTTTATTGACCATAGTAACTTTAAGAGAATATCTTCTAATTTCAAAAATTATATCCCATTGTTTACTGACTTAACGATAATGCTTTTAGTACCACTGGAAGTTGGTTAAAAAAAAAAGTTTTGGGATTATAACATTTCCCTCCAACTTAACATGTTTTTACATAGAACGCTGGCTGGAAACCAGAGCAGAACATGAAAAGGAAAACTAAACACGTGTTTAAATAAAAGAAATACCATAACTGTTTATTATGGTAGATTATCGAAAGAAGGTTTAATTTTCGTGTGTGCAATTAGGCACTGACTGAGGCATTTAGACACCTTTGATTATAAAGTGCGTTGAATATAAATTTTGACCTCCTTCAAAGGAATAATTCAATAAAACACAGGTTTCTTTCCTGGAATCAATCAGCTCAAGAACATGCACAGATAAACACTTATTAAATACTAATAACAGTCTTTTATTACTTATACTCAACAGTAACAGCAACATAGCGTATTTGCATACATTACATTTTATTCAAAGTCATTGTATCCAGCAATGTGGTATCGCAAGCTCAAGGTTGCACAGCATATTAACCCTACTGTCTTACAGCATGAGTAATGGATTCCTAACAACAGAATCAAAATAAAAGCTCCAAGAGACAATCCTAAATATCTTGTGGTTTGTCATTTTCTGATTTTCCAAATTTGCCACTTGCATCCTACCCTACCTACAACATTGACAAAATGATTTTTACATGTTAGGAAAAAGATGAGGATCAACTCACAAATGAACAACTTGTCTTTTTTATAGTTCAACAGTCCATCTTTGAAAAGCACATGGTGGAATGTCAGAAGTGGCTTTTTAATAATGTAACTTTACGCATCATTGATTCGTAATAGTCACGGCTATAGTCCTTGGGTAGAAGAAAACATCTTACGCTGGAATGACACACATACATACATAAAATATGATGGAGCTGTATCTTTTAGCACACTTACATTGAACACAAAAGTCAAAGTGCATCAATTCATTGAAGGTCAGACTTTCAGTCTTTTAAAGACTGTCAGTCTTTCTGCCTTCTTGCTTAAACCTCTTAAAGAGTTTACCAACTCGAGTTTAACCAAGAGACCCAAGGTACTGTAGTTTCAAATGAGTTTCTGTGGGATCCACGAATCCACCAGGCCCACTGGAACGGGGTTACAGGCCAGCGTGAGAGGCTCACGTAAGTGAGGAGAGGGGCCCCTGAGCTTTCTGTTCCTAACTCAAGGCACAAAGCACAGCTCTTCCTGGTCAGGGACCCAGGGTGGGCATCCGGGGCATTTTCTTTCTTAAAAGAATTTCCAACACTATGTGAAAAGCAATTTCTTTTTGGACAACGTGGTTGAGGTTTCTACCTTTCAGTCAAACATGGAACCCAGTTAGCTCTTCCTGTGTCCTTCTTTACTTCGGAGGAGGCGCAATATATGTTCATTTTTGGTCAGTTCTGCCGGAAGTTCATTGGCCTGAAAAAGGTAAGACAGACATTAGGGAATTCCCATGGTTGGTGTGGTTTTAGGGACTCCAAGGACAGGCCCCTCGCCCAAACCTGCTCCCCAAGTGGTGAAAAACTCCACTGGAGTCAGTCTTTTGTATTAGGGCATTAAAGGTGTTCCCTCAATTGATCGTATAAATATCACATTATTTTCTCATGTCATTGTTAGGGGGTTTTCCTATTTAGCCATACCCCTAACTAGCCTGTAATCTCCAGGAGGCCAGGGGTCCACGTCTTATTAATCACTGTGTCCTCACTTCCAGCACAACAGCAGCATATCTCGTATGTGCTCAATAAATACTCGGAACGTTAAATTTGACAGGTTACATTTAATTAGTTTATTACATGAGGCAGTCTGTCTGCTAGGGACTCGAGACATAGGACAAGTCTCTTTTGATGAGAAGGCAGAGCTAGGAAACATCCAGAGCACAAAAGATATCTAGGAAAGAGCAGCTTCAGGGGCCCCCACTTCCCACCTGACTCAGTCTCACTGTTTGTCCTTCCTCTTCATAGCGCTGCTGGGACACGGTCTTTATGCATTTATTGAGCGAGCGAGTCTCCACCATATGCAACAGACATATGGGCAGTGGTTCCCAAACTTTTTGGTCTCAGGACATTTTTACACTCTTAAAAATTACTGAGGACCCCAATGAGTTTTTGTTTTTTACTTATTAGAAATGGAAACTGAGAACATATTTAAAATATATTTATTAATTCATTAAAAACAATAAATCTATCTAGGTTTAACCTAGAGGTTAACATAAATAACTATAAGAAATAACCAAATTTTCAAAATGAAAAAAGTTAATGAGAAGAGTAGCATTGTTAAAAGTTTTGCATATTTCCTGAATACATAGCTAAATAGAAGACAACTGGATTCTCATATTTGCTTCTGCATCCAATCTATTATGATATGTTGTTTTGGTCGAAGCATAGGAAGAAAATTCAGCTTCACACCGATAGGTAGTTGGAAAAGGGAGGAGCATTTTAACAGCCTTTTCAGATCAGGGTAGATATTCTTCTCTGATGAGACACCAATACAGGACAAGTGATAGTTTCTTAAAGGTTAACGCCAATGTGAAATTAGAAACCACATCAATGAACTTTTCACACTCTGTTACATTAAAATCCATAGGTCTATTTATCTGCAGGCGGGTTTTTTAAATCCATACATGATTTGTAACAACATACATGATCATTTAGAAGATATCAGTTCACTGAGTTATGCAGATCTTCCGGATGTTGAGACATTTCATAATATAATACCAAAAAATCACGTTCATTAATAATACCACTGCTTCATCAGAAAAGCCTTTAAGTACTGGGAAGCTGTCAGGCTCCCATAGTGGTTACAGGTCGTTCTTTCAAGCAAAAACAATGCTCCATGAAAAAAGCGGCTGGTTCACTTCACAAGTCAAACAAGAGCACACGCACTTTTCCTTGAGACAGCCAGTGCAGCTCAGCGCACAGGGGGCTTCGGGCATACTTCTCATTTTGTCACACGGAATAGTACAAAGAGGAGCAGCAAGGGTCAAGATTTACGGCTTCATCAAAGACGCTCTTATGTAAAACTGGTGTTTCTGTAAAATAACTTAGAAAGGATTGTAAAGCATTTGGCAGCACAGTTTGGTGCCCCTGCTTTGTCGTGTACCGAGGCTCCAGGTTTCAGCCACCCGAGCTTCTGCATTAGAGCAAATGTCAGCACAGTAAAAAAGGCAAAATAACATCCTTGTATCATTAAGAATATTGTTCTGACCTCTTGGAGCCCCTGAAAGGGTCTTGAGGACCCTCAGGAGTCCACAGTCCACACTTTGAGAATTGTTGTTATGGAGGAATCGAAAGGATGTTCTTGGGATTTCAGGGGAAGCAGCGAAACGGTAGAAAGGCACCCAGAATGGGCGAGAGCACTTGGATGTAGATGTTACCTGTCTCACATATTTCTTCTCCCGTAGTCACGCCTGCACCCCCAGCTGCTTTATCTGGAACCCCGATCCTAGGTGAAGCTCCTGCAGGCCCCACCTTCCAGGTTGGATCCAGCTCCCTGACCCCCACCTGCTGTCTGGGACCTCACTTCTTGGGAACTATGCAAAGGCTTGTTGGGAATTATGAGTTGGCCACAAGTGGTCTGCCGGGCAACATGTCTTGTAGCTGTACCCCAGCCCATCCAAAGGAACCTCGATGCTGATGCTGGACTGAATCCAAGGGGAATCGCCATGCTAGGCTACTATAGACCAGAGGCCCCTCTACAGGGTCGAATTCTACTCTTAGTTCCTGCAGGAATAGACACAGTACAGGCCTAACGCCTGGGCATGCAGAGAAATGCTTCCGGTAAACAGACCTAAGCTCCACCCACTCTCAGAGTGCGCTCAGGAATAACTGAGCTGTTCTGCATGGGTTATTGGTCCTTGGTGATCAGGCTGCCAGATAGCCAGAGGATGCTCTACAGTCAGGAAGAAGAAGGGATCTAAGAAGTTGTACAAACTTGCTGAGTTATAGCTGCCTGTGTGGCCATCTCCATGAATGTCCGTATACTTTACCATTAAAATAAGCTTTATAGCCTCAAACTGTGTTGTCAAGTTTTGGTCAATCACATCGCTGTTCCATACGTCATCCAGATAGTTCTAAAAATCTGTCCTAATTCCTCCTCTCTCCTGGTTGGTCCCCACTGAATCCTCAGGTTGCTGAGGTTGTGATGACTGTTATGATGGCTAGTGTCCCAGGCTGGCCCCTAAAGGCCATCTGATTCATTACAAAGCAGGACCATAGGTCCATATTCATGATACCACAGCATCAAACCACTCCATCTCCCTACTGTTCCTGGGAGAGAGAAGATGTGTTCTGAGTCCTCAGCTGGAGTATCAGGAACACGGGGCTCCTGATCTCTGGGATGGCTGTAGTGTGGGGAGTGGCCATTGGGGTCATCGGTTACCTTCTCCTCAGGTGTCTGCCTCAAAGGCCCCAAGCAGAAGTGCTGGAAGCCCTGGAGGAGAAGAGTGCTTTCGTACTGGCTTAGAAGTCACTCTCTGGGAAGCCTCAATAGCATCCTTTACTTCCCTGCTGATAGCTCTTGTTATCCTGGACTGCAATTGTTTGTTTCATTGTCTTTATTCCCCAGTAAATGCTGAGCTCCATGAAGGCAGAGACTATGTGAATCTCATTCACCATGTATCCCCAGCACAAAGCACAGTGTGTGGTATCTAGTAGGCACACACACAATGTTTGCTGAATGAATGAATGAAGGCCAAGAATACCCCCTCCAAACTCCTGGGTGGCTTCTGGAATCCCCACACCCTTGCTTCTGGAGCTGCCTTTAAAGAGGCTGGCTTTATGGGGTGGCTGGTGGGTGGGTGGTGGGTTCCTTGCAGCTACTCCCAGGTCCCTAAGGGTTTCTGCAGTCTGAAACTCCCACATGAACAGACCACAGATATACTCAAGTAGCTTCAGGGAGGGTCCAAAGTCCAGCACTGTGGTCACAGGAAATTCCCCATAACCTTTATTGCTGAGATTCCAGGAGACGCACAAGGAATTGCATTTGTCAGTTTCTGTACAAAGGTACTAACGTTTTCCCCCTTGCCTTAATTCAGCACTGGATGGCTTAGCAACGAAGATTGATCTCTTTAGAAAGTCTGTGTCCAAGGTCTGAAGATAACAGCACAATGGTGATCTCAGCTGGCTTATCACACAGCCAGGCCAGCTAACAGAAAACAAATCCAAACCTCTCAGGGAGAGACAGCGGAACTGCTGTCTCCAAGCAGGTCAATGGCAGGAACGCGGAACTAATAATCCCACATGCGAAGTGGAATGAAAAAAAGAGACTCTCGGCATGTTGTTAAATTGCACTTCTTAATGGTTTCCTTTCAAAATGTCATAAAATACTACATATTTTTGTTTTTATTGTTTAAAAATTTAACGTGGTAATAGGTACTTATAAAAATTCAAATAATATATAATTATAAAATAAAAATTACTTTTCACACCTTCCCCTATCAATAAGCACCATTCCTAACTCTTCCTTCAAATTGAGTAGTTCAGTGGTTTTCTGAAGACCTCTCCTAGGCTACTCCCCCGGCCCAGTCTCTACGTCCGACTGCTTACGCAGATGTTGAATAGGAGGAAACACGACGACGATCATTTTTTCCTATGGTGACTGTGCATCCTCCCACCTCTAAGTTTGGCCCAAGTAAACAAAGGATTTTGAGCTATAAAAAGTCTGAGTTGGCTTTGTAACGGTGGTGTGAAGTCCTGTTAACAATGTAAGAGCAACATGTTCCCCACACAGTCACCAAACAGAGCTCAAGCAATTCTCCACAAATGAACATCCAACTCAGGGAGGACGGTGATCACTAGCAGAACTCTGACATTTTTAGGACACTTCTTTGATGACAGAACACTCAGAACCCTTCCCCCTTACAACTACTGCCCCCGGACCCCCACCTTGGAGGTTGCACCATTGTGAGCTGAAAACCACTGATGATACAGGGTTTTTAGCATAATTCTCTGGGTCCAAGTTGGTATTGCTCACTCTAATCTACTAAGGACAACCTTGCACGTCCTTACAATGCCAAAGTATGAAGACAGTTACCAGAGCCAGAGACGTCAACTTGGCTCAGAAAGAAGCTGCCTTATCTCTTTGCATAGGCGCCCAATGGAGTTAAAATATGGGTAAGGTAAGGCCAGTACCTTGTTTCTCAGGGCTGGGTCCGCCCCTGCTTCCAGGAGCAGCCTGACTGTTTTAATATTTCCACTGAGCACTGCCGCATGGAGCGCCGATGTTCCATTCTAAGAGAAAATGACAGCATACGTCAGGCGCGAGCTCACAGCCATCAGCTCTCAGCTTGGCCTTCATCGTGAATGAGGCTGAGTGATGTGACTGTAATGCTGGAGCCTTACTCCTCCTGATATTCCCTTTTCAAAGCCACGTCAGCATCTACACAGCATCCTCAGGTACTCAGGAGACGGTCTGTATAAATAGTACCAACATTGTTTGGCAAGTGATACAAGGCATCCAGCCCAGGGTGCACATGACTTGGTGATCACTTGCTCACTCAGTGTTATAGACATTAGAACTTGCTGCAGAAGAAACAAGGCTGGGTGAAGTTTTTTTTTTCTTCAAGGACAACAATTACAGTCTTTGTGCTTTTGGCAAGCCACATGCAGCAAGGTTGGAGGAATGCCTGGCTATCCAACGGGCCAACTTGCCAGCCCTGCTACACACACTGTGCTCACTCAGGCAGGCAGGGAGTGACTGTGGAGTTACAGGGCGTAAGAGGGAAAGTGTGGGGGGGGACCCCTGAGCCGTGAGCCGGAGCACTTCTGAGCCCAAAGGGCCTAGGGCATAGGGTTCCAACATTTTACGAAATATACTGCAAATATTTACTGAAATAAGGAAGCAGGTGTGTGCAGCATGTAGCTGGATTCTGGGAGGGGAGAAGAAGAGAATATGTCGAAAGTAATATAAGAATGAGGGGCAGTCATATGACAGTCCCATGACATCTGTTCCAGCAGGTACATGTCTGTGAAGAGTGCCTAAATGCAAGCTTATTTTCAAATTAACTACTTATAATAAACATTTACTTAAAAAACACTTTCTTATTTTGTAAAAGAGTAAAATATCATACCTAGAGAAAAATTCCAGCAAAGCAGCATTTTCCCATGTTTGTTTTTATAACGTAGATGGCAATTCACATTTCACTTACCTAAATCCTAACCAACCTATTAACTTCCCCTATTTACAACATGGTTAAAAATCGAAAACCAAACCAAAAAAGAGCTGTTTGAAATGAGACTAGATATTGGAAAGTCCACTTCTGAAGGTCATTTCTTTTATTCATTGAAAGTTCACTTTCATAGCCTATTTATTCTTACTTTACAATTTTTTGTTTCCTGAGGAAGATGTGCCCTGAGCTAACATTTGTGCCAGTCTTCCTCTATTTTGTACATGGTTTGCTGCCACAGCATGGCTGCCAACAAATGGTATAGGTCTGTGCCCAGGAACTGAACCCAGGCTGCCCAAGCAGAGCGTGCGGAACTTAACCACTAGGCCACAGGGCTGGTCCCACAAATGGTTTTAACAAGTGCAGCTTTCTGGTCCCCAAGCTCATGGGAGATTAGAAGCAGCTCACTGGACAGGGCAGAGGGGCCAGTACACTGATAACAGCAGCTCTGTACCAGCTGACGGCAAGAATGGAGGCTAAAAATATAAAGATCAGATACAAAGCATCTAAAAGCCTCTGGGGTCATTCAAGGACAACTAGACTTTATACACATCAATAAACCCTGAGGGCACATCCCAAAAAGTGCTGAGCCCCTGTTCCAAGTTTAGAACAGGTTTGGTGTCCTCTGTTTAAGAAAACAGGAGGGGCCGGCCCCGTGGCCGAGTGGTTAAGTTTGTGCGCTCCACTTTGGCGGCCCAGGGTTTCGCTGGTTCGGATCCTGGGTGAGGACATGGCATCGCTCATCAGGCCATGCTGAGGTGGCGTCCCACATGCTACAACTAGAAGGAGCTGCAACTAGAATATACAGCTGTGTACTGGGGGGCTTTGGATAGAAGAAGAAGAAGAAAAAAGGAAGACTGGCAACAGATGTTGGCGCAGGTACCAATCTTTAAAAAAAAAAGGAAGAAAACAGGAGTGTGCAGCAGGGGTCAGCAAACTACAGCCTGTGGGCCAATCTAACCTGTCGCCTGTTTTTCTATATCCTGGCAAGCCAAGATTTAAAGAAATTAAAAGAAGGAAAATATTTTGCGACATGAAAATATGAAATTCCAGAAATACAATATTCATAAACAAAGTTTGATTGGAATGCAGCCACACTTTTTTGTACTGCTTTGAATTTCCTGTGGCTGCTTTCTCACCATGACAGCAGAGCTGAGCATTTGCTACAGAGATTGCATGGCCCACAAAGCCTAAAATATTTACTACCTGGCTCTCTATTGAAAAAGATTGCCAGTCCCTGTTATATATTCTAGTTTAGAAATATTTTAATCAAAAATGATTAAAACTTAAAAAAAGAGTTTTGGGGCTCTGTTTCTGGAGGCCCCAGCTCTCCAGGATGGCACATTCTCTGAGGTGTCCAGATGTTTGAGGCCTGTTTTATTTCACCTACGGTAACAATGTGGTCTTTGGCTCAGATAATGAACAGAAGGAACTCATCACATGTCCCTCATGCTTTGTAGGACACAAACAACGTGTTTCATGATTTGTGGAGGATTTCACAAATCCTCCAACAATATATCAATATGGCTGACTTTCTGATTTATCGATTTCATGACTACTGTCTAATTTTCTTTTCTGGGAAACTAGGTACTGACAGACTGTTTCACTCTGTTTTGTTCCCCCTTCTCATTTCTACCAGTGCCCGTGGATCTCTAACATCAAGAAGTGGTACATATGTTCTTTTAAGAATACAACCAACCCAGGTAAATTATACCCAGATTCTACCACAGTTCCCAAGTACGCACGTGTCATTTACTAAATTCTCTCATTTACAGATTGGAAAAATTTCTCCTTAGGTCTTACCTTCAAAATACCAAGGGTGGGTGAGAATTTCAGCAATTCCTTTATAACGTCATTATACCCTTTGTTGGCTGCTTTCAGTAACGCTGTTGTGCCATCCTTCACAGAGAGAGGAAAAGACAAGTTGATATTAACAGATGTGTGTGTCGGCTAAGAACTAAATGCTGGCCAAGAACTGGGAATATGTTTGTCAGAAATACGCAAAACATATAAATTAAAGCACAGACCTGCAATGTCTTTTAACCTAGAAGCATTTTAGAGCATATTAAGCAATTAATTCTGAAAGAAAGAACAGCAGACAAAATATGCAACATTCTATTATCTCAGAACCCTAACATTCAGGAATTCATATTCCTCCAGTCCTGCAGAACACCAGGTCAGGGACAAGGGGAATTTCAAGAACATATTTTTAGGACATAGATGGACCAAAGAGGCATTCTCTGAAGTTCACGACTTAGAAATTAACTGTTGAATTGTTTTTAATAATTTAAATTATTGTTGAGCCATATTTACTGTTTTAAAATTTTAAACGTGCTTTTCTTTTAGCCTTCTCTTGGATACACCTTGCTCTAGTCTGCCCCAGGGATGTATGTCCCTGTGGTTGTGGTGGGGGCGAGGGTAGGAAGAGGATGGATTGAAACCTGTTAAAAAGGAATGCAAAGCCAAGCTCAAAAATTAATATTCAGATTCTGTCATCATTTTTTGGCCTGAGAAGAGATTTTCCAAATTCCTTTTTCAACATATAAATGGCCGTATTTGGAGGATTTGGCTCACAGAGTTCTCCTGTAGTGAAGGTAGTAAAGGAAATACCCCAGCCTGCTCTAAAGGTTTAGCTGGACTCAGGAAGAAAGAAGATGAGAATAGAGGATTTTTCTTTTCTGCCATCAGAGATTGTGGGAAGAAGAAAGAGAGTGGGAGAGAGGCCAGTGAAGTGAAGTGGCCAGGGACGTGACTTCTGATTTCCCCTTTCTGCCCTCAGACTTGGAGAGGGAAGGTGGGTCACACAAGCAGGAGTAATACTAACGCAAAGAGGCCAGGCACTGTAAAACAAACAAACAAACAAGAGCGAATAGCATAGTGCAGTCAGGCAGCAGGGTCTCCCCAGGCTACCCTTAGTTCCCATGGGTCAAAGGGCCTGCTGTGGACGCACCGAGGAGAGTGAGGCAACACCAGCAGAGGCTAAGTGGAGGCCCGGGGGGACGTGGTGCAGGGGTCTGCAGCTCCGGTACCCGCGTGCCAGATGCACTGCGGCCCAGAAGCCAGAAGGAGGCGCAGTGCCAGGAAGACCCGCCGCCGCTAGGGACACACCCTCACCGTCAGCCTGAGGCCGGGTCTCCTGCCTCTCGCATCCTCCCGGGTTCGTCTAGAAGTCAGCTCAGGGGGAAGAAGATCCCCGAGGAATTAAACATTTTTTCCTTAGAGAGACTAAGCAGTACTTGCTAGGCTTCAACTGATTCAGACACTTTGTTTTCCTGCCAAAGAGCAGGTGGAGAAAACCCAGGTGAGTTACAGACAAAAGAGAGTCGTGTTTTCTTTGCACATCTAAGCTGGGCTAAATTTTGGAGCTTCCGTGCATGCATTTTCCACCCGAGCCCCTGCATCGTGCAGCTTTCGCTCAGACTCACGTTCCGGGCGGCGTCGCGGTCGGCTCCGCGCAGCAGCATCACCCTCACCACCTCGCTGTGGCCCATCTGAGAGGCGATCCACAGTGGCGCCGTGCCATCCTGCGGGAGAGACACGCGTGGACCCCGCTGTTAGGGATGGTCAGACATCCACTAGCAGCAAGTTCATGCCAGGAGAGAACTCCCCGACGGCAGATGAGGAGGCTGACTTTGACCTGTTTACATAGACCGGCATTTGACAATTTGCTCGGACTACGTGGGTAATTGCCAATATTCAATTTTTTTTGGCTTATAAAACAGCCATTTTATGGCACAGTCTTTTACCGGAGTGTGGTGCAGGACTTCATGCAGCACGGGTGGGAAGCACTTGAGTTGCACCCCAGGGCAGAACCTGTCTTTATTTCCCCCTCGACTCTGGCAGTCTGCTTTACTGGTGGGTTCATACCACACACCCTGCTTGGTGGGGGCCCTCATTCCCACAGAAGCCTGGGCAGTGCCCTTGAGGTGGGGTCTGAGAACTAACTACATTTCTCCTATTCTCCTACTCTGGTGTTCAGAATTTACCATAGACACGTCACTTTTAGGGACTTTAATTTTATGCCAAATATGATACTGTGTCTTCTGAGCAGAGCTGCACACTAGCTGGTTATGGCAGGATGACATTTTTGGTAATATTTCTGGTGTATGATTCGTCTAACGACCCTTTTTCCCTGAACACTGGCCATGAAGCTGAGGTGTGTTGCTGCAGAGAAGAAAAGGTGAAACATCTGAGGGACAGAGAAGGACTTGACAGTAGGGTGGTTCCAGGCAAAAGGGGAAATAGAAAACCCTTCCAGTGCTGGAAGGAAGTGCTGGAGAGGGAGGGGGCCAGTAAGTGTCCATGTATTCCTCCCACTCTGGGTTGAATCTGGGTCAGGTAAGCCAGGGGTGGTAGAAACACCCAGGTAAATGATGGTGAATTTCAGATGGGGAAGGACTTTCTCCTGTTCTTGGAATGGAACCTAGGAAAACTGCAAGCCCCTTAGAGCAGCTCTGCTCCTGGCTGGTGCCTGAGAGAAAAGAAACGCCTGTGGGAGGTGGCTGGGCCAGTGGACCTGAGACATGCCCCTAGTACTCCTAGTCCACATCCACTAGCCATCTGAGCACCCAGGAGTCCCTGCCTGCTTGTGGGAGATGGGAAATGCTGGGTAAACAGTGGCCTGGAGTAAGGCTGAGGTTGGGAAGATAAGGCCACAGAACGTCACGAACATAGATGATGGCAGGGCCAGCATATGGTGGGACCAGCTGCATCTTCATGGTACCAGTGTATGATGCTCAGGGACCAGAGAGGCTGGACAAGCCAGCACAAGGAGCAGATCTGAGCATCCCCACCCCCACCCAAATGCCAGGGTGAAAGTCTGACCTCTGAGAATTTAGGTCGCTCTGGAGAGAAGGGCAAGAGGAAGGAGGAGGATTCAGAACTGACTGAATTTAACCTCTGAGGTAATTAAGGCAATATGGCCCAAAGAGACTGTTTGATAAGACTGAATGACTCATCAGTGGGAATGAGGACTGAAGGGCAAGCTGATTCAGCTACAGAATATTAAGTTTCATTTTCTAGTGTATGTAATTTCAACTCCTGTCTACTAGCCACTGCAGGCACAGGATTATTGCCTATCACTGTCCTGGCAAAGGGACACAGGACAAAGGCATTTGAGTGGGATAGATGGTGGCAATTCGGGAGCCTAGGTGGTAGGAGGATGTTGGCACCTCTGTGTGTTGGGAGAGATATGGAGAAGAGGAGCTGAAACAAAGGATGGAAGAAGGCTGAAGACACCTTGAACTCCTTCATACTTTCACAAGGGCCTCTCAGAAATATTCTTGAATCTGAATGTTATCTATCATTAGTAATACAAATAATACCTTAATTTGTACTTTTAGTTTACAAAGCACTTCTACATTCATTATTGAATTTGATTCTCCCAGTTCAGCATTTAACCAATCATTCATTCATTCAATCACCCAACAACTACTAAGCATCTTCTAAGTCTCAAGCAGGGTACTAAAAATAAGACATGGTCTCTGTTCTCAAAGAAACTCAGTCTAGTGGAGAGGAGACGTGGAAACTTCAGTATGATTGCAGTGCTACGGTAAAGTAAGGACAAAAATGCCCAAGATGAACCAGGAGAGGGGCCCTCTTACAGCGTGGGGGTTACGAGGTCAGCTTCACAGATGGCGTGGTATCTGAGCTGAGTCTTGAAGGACTAGGATTTTGCCAGGTGAGGTGGGGGAGGGAGGGGCATTCCACACAGAAGGAAGAATATTTACAGTCACAGTGGCTTGACCAGCCGTGGCTGGTTCAGGTAGGGTGGGAAATCCAGCTTGCAGCAGGGTGTGGGTGGACCCAGGGAGGCAGGAGAGAGAGTCTGGGCCCCAAAAAGGGTTTTTGGGGGCTCCCGTGTGATGCACTTCCTCCTTGCCCACTCTGGGTTCATTTGTTCTTTGTCGATATCGCCACCAGAGGGCAGGCAAGGAAAGGCAGCCAGCAGCCTATTCGATGTGCTTTCCAAGGGCTTGGTTGTTTTAGTGAAATTCTATTAATTGACACTAATCTGTGGAAAAGTGCTGAGAGGTGTTATATTGGGAATGACTGTTAATATCATAACAGTAATGCTAACATTTAAATTTTATCACATTAATTACAATAGTCAAGGTAGGTGGAAAAAGAAGTCACCACTTCCTGGCTGTAGACCTAATGCAAATCACTCTGAGCCTCGGTGCCCCCTGCTGCAAAAGCAGTAGCCTCACAGAGATGTTCATGAACCAGAAATCATATAGAAAGGTGCTGCTGTACACCTGAAACTTGTATAATGTTATAAACCAATGTTACCTCAATAAAAAAACCACCAAAAGAAGGGTGCTGAGCACAAGGACTGGCTAACAGATGCTTAAAAAATGGTAATTGAATCCAAATATTATTTTTCATGAAACACAGTAAGTACCTTAATTTATATTTTTGTTTACAAAGCACTTCCATACACTCTATTTAATTTGATTCTCCCCGTGATGCTGTGAGACAGCTGACTGAGCAGGCAGGAACAATTGGTAAAATGAGATTTGCAGGACACCTGCATATTTCATTACTGGTGATTACTTCTCCAAACCTGATTTTTGAAACCAGGGAGTTCAGCTCAACAACAAAAAAACCAACAATCCAATTAGAAAATGGGCAAAAGATCTGAACAGAGACTTCTCCAAAGAAGATATATAGATGGCCAACAGGCATATGAAAAGACGTTCAACATCATTAGCTATCGGGGAAATGCAAATCAAAACTACAATGAGGTATCACCTCCCTCCAGTGAGAATGGCTATAATTAACAAGACAGGAAACAACAAATGTTAGAGAGGATGTGGAGAGAAGGGAACCCTTGTTCACTGCTGGTGGGAGTGCAAACTGGTGCAGTCACTATCGAAAGCAGTATGGAGTATCCTCAGAAATTTAAGAATAGGTCTCTCATATGATCCAGCTATTCCACTGCTGGGTATTTATCCAAAGAACTTGAAAACACAAAGGCATAAAGATACATGCACCCCTATGTTCACTGTAGCATTATTTACAATAACCAAGACCTGGAAGCAGCCTAGGCACCCATCAAGGGATGAATGGATAAAGAAGATGTGGTGTATATATATATATATATATATATATATATATATATATATACAATGGAGTACTATTCAGCCATAAGAAAGGATGAAATCCAGCCATTTGTGACAACACGGATGGACCTTGAGGGTATTATGCTAAGTGAAATAAGTTAGAGGGAGAAAGTCAAATACCATATGATCTCACTCATAAGTAGAAGATAAAAGCAACAACAAACAAACACATAGCATTGGAGATTGGATTGGTGGTTACCACAGGGGAAGAGGGGTGGGGGGGAGGGCAAAAGGGGTGATTAGGGTCACATGTGAGGGGATGCACTATAATCAGTTTTCAGGTGGTAAACATGATGTAATCTACAGAGAATTTGAAATATATTATGATGTATATCTGAAAATAAATGAATAAATAAATACATAAAGTAATAAATAAAAAGAAACCAGGGAGTTGAATGTGAATTAGAGTATTATTGTCAAATCAAATTATTTATCAGTTGACTCTCTGGTTTGTGAATAGGAGAGGTTTTCCTCTCCTCCTGTACATCTCAATTTCTGTTTTCTCTTACTTTTTCCTTCTGTTACAATGGTCAGAATCATCATTGTGAAGATGACTTCACAATAAAAATGATGAAAATTAAGTCAATTCAGCTCCTTTTTGTAAAGTTCTGGAGAGAAGTGGAGTAGGAAAAACATTTTAAAATATTTATATGTTTTTGAATACGTCTTGGCAAAAATATATAGTTTTAAAGTATATTAAATGGAACAGATCACCATGAAGTGGGAGTTACACCTCTACAGCACTTTTTTTTTTTTCAAAGACTGGCCCTGCCCTAACATCTGTTGCCAATCTTTCTTTCTTTCTTTCTTCTTTTTCTTCTTCTTCTCCCCAAAGCCCCCAGTACATAGTTGTATATTCTAGTTGCGGGTCCTTCTGGCTCTGCTATGTGGGATGCCGCCTCAGCATGGCCTGATGAGTGGTGCTAGGTCCGCACCCAGGATCTGAACCAGCAAAACCCTGGGCGGCTGAAGTGAAGTGTGCAAACTTAACCACTCAGCCACGGAGCCAGCCCTACAGCACTTTTTTTAAAAAAAGGAAATAGAACATTTTAGGTGAAGAAGGTAAGATTCACAGGGTTATGAGAGCTGTGATTTACTATTTGTGGGCATACCAAGCAGAAAAGGATTTGGAGTCACTTTGCATACCAAGTGATGAAAAGAACACTGATAGGTGAAAGCTACACAGAGACTTTGGCTCAGTGTAAGAAAGAAATGATAATGAGGGCTGGTTAAACAACAAATAAGCTGATGAGGTGGTAATGAGTTCCCCATGCCGGGAGGGGTTCAACTGTGGCTGATCACCACTCAGCAGGATTGTTAGAGAAAAGATTCAAGTACCTGATGGATGGTTAAATAGGTGACTTCTTCAGTTCCTTCCAACTCTGTTATTCTCTCATTCCATTTGAGATAATATTTTCAAGTATCTAATACAGTTTTATAAACAGGTCACAGCATGGGATGGAGCATACGACATGACTTGTATTAGAGACTAAATCTTATTTGATCTTATTTAGACTCCTAACGATTATTTAGAAAAAAGAATTAGAACCATTCTCTTCGTGGGAATGGGGATATTAAGTGGCACTGGCTCTGCTTCTCCTGCCTTCAAGTCCCTACACTTAGGCCACTTCACCTGCAGGCTCAAGCCAGACAGAAGTTCTTGGGGACCAACCCTAGTCTAAATCGGGGGCCCAAGAGATATAAGGAACCTCAGCAGTAGCAAAGGGGGGTCCATATGGACACAACACTGCTACCAGCCCTTCCCTGCCCGGGAGCCATTCCTCATCACTGTGTCCCTGCTTGATGTCCCCATCCAGCAAATGGGTCTGTAAAAGATGTTACCAGATGTCAGCATTGCCCACAGCCTGACCCCATTGTCTCCAGCCACAGGTGATCAGATGAGGGACGGGAAGACCAGCCAGTCCACTGGGGCCCGGTGTGCACAGGTGAGCTGCAACAATGACGTGGCTACAAGAGTCTGACCTGTGACAAATAAAAATGGCAAGTAATAGGATATATTGGAATATATGAGGAGGCCATTTGGTGTAAATCTAATTCGGCCTGACCTTGTCTTTCCAAAAGGGCCTGACCGAGGCCGTTGAGCATGCATTGTATATGTGCTTTAGAGAGTCCCTATGGCAAGAGCAAAAGGCCCTTGAGATACAGGTGCAACTTCTCTCCCCCTCCCAACGTTGGCATCTCCTTAAAGATTAAGCATCTTTCTTTAGGCTGGGAACCGATTGCAGCGCTCATCTGTGACCCCCCCAGCCCGAGGCAACACACCTGCCACCCTGCGGTGTTCACTGAGACAGCAGACCTATCTGCCATTTCCACCAATCGCTGTGCTGACAGAGCAGCCTCGTGACTATTGTAAAAGGGATATTTCAATCATATGTGAAACACCCTCTTTGAGGGTATATAACCACCCTGTGTACCCCCACTTCTTTGGAGTGCTCTGTTGCTTTGTGGAAAGACTCTCCTGGGTTATAATCCTAAGATTTAAGCTCAGAATAAACTCACCCAAATTTTCATTTATAGATTGGTTATGGATTATTTTCGTTGACACCTGTACACTTGGGGACCACATACAACATAAGAAAGCAGAGTAAGCTGGCCAAAAAAAGGAGTGGAGGGAGAGGAAGAGTACAAGCTTGATTTCTGATGGGTTTTCTGTTCCAGTGAGGCCTGGACCGTATGGAAATGATAAGGCAAAACCGAACATTTACGAAGCACCTGGGCATATCAGCCACTGCATCAAGAGTGCTGCAGGGATCGTTTTATTTCATTCTCACAACACGCCTACAGCAAAGATATTACTACCCTCATTTTACAGATGAAAAAAATGAGATAGGGGAGAGTAAGCAACTTGCTCAAGTTAATAAGCAAAACTGGGACTGTGTTTCCCGTCCTTCAGATTTCCAGATCCCTGTACCTATAAGCTGCACCCCTGACTCCCACCCCAAGAAACCTGGCTTTGGCTCTCTAGCTGGCTCGCACAGTCTTCCTGGGTCTGGTGTCCCGCCCGTGAGCCTGGGCCTACATCTGAGCCTGTTTTCGTTCCCAGTCATTGATCCCTGGGTACTGAAGCCTTCCAGACCTCACTGGCATCTGCCCAAGCCACAGGGTGTCCTCTGGTAGTCAACACACCCTTTCTGAGTGCCTACCATGTGCAGAGGGAACGCAAGCAGCAGGGCCTCCCCATTGCTGCCTGCTCGCATCTCCAAGCCCTCAGGATACCTTACCAATCTGTTGGCTCCACTTTCTCCCATTGCCCACCACTGGGTTTGCCCCTCCAGGCCTGCAACCCGAGAGCACTGTTACTCTCTGGGTCCCAGCATCTCTGCAAACAAGTCCAAACCAGGGTTTCTGTTAGAGAAGGCACTTTATGAGATAGCCTTTCTGTCAGGCTTCAAAGAAATGTTGATTAGCACATTCAGAGGACTAGACAGAGATGAGCGATGACACGCCACCTCAGCTCTGGGTGAGCGGAGTTGGACCGTATCACTCTATAAAAGCATCGTGTGAATAAGGTAGGTGAGCTGAGTTGGGAAAAGTATACGTCAAAGCATTTTGATAGAAAAACAGACTAAATAGCCATCTCAGCTAGTGATTAAAAAGGTTTGACTCATATCAACTCTACTTTGTGAGGACACATAGAAAGAACTGAAAATGAGTTTTAAAACTAACTATGAATTACACTTGTCTCTGTGACTCCTGACCTCTTCATCTAGGACAACTTAGAAGGGAAATATCTTCAAGTTTCAAATCAAGAACTTAGTCTTTCCAAAGTCTGCCCACGGCTTGCTGTGTGACTATGCTTCCTTTTCGCAAAAGTACTAAAAAAGGTTTTCGATTAGTTCCTCAGTGACAGAGTCACAAGGAAAAGTCACTCCCACGACCCCCTTCCAGATTACCTGTAGCTCAGGCCAAATGTCAACTGAATAATTTCAACATAACTTCATTCACATCCTGTCACAGTGTGTCACAGTCAGGACTCCACAGAATGGCAATGCAAAAATTATAAATCAGATTTATCTTAAAAAGTTAAGAAATTAAGGCAGGGAAATATCCTTGTCGTTATTTTGTAAATTCAAGAATTTTCTGACAACGACAATAAGATTTCAGAATACAACATTGGTTTCCAAGTGCCCCACCTATATAATATTCTACCATGTGCAGGCCATTTTAACAGGAACTTTTAAATAGACTTTTCTTTTAACCTCCTCATAAACTGTGACAAAGTCAGCCAGGACTGATGTCATTTTTGTCCTGTTTAAGACAATACTTGTTTTCTTGGAATGGAATTACATATGCAGAGTTTACCTTTGAGAGAAGGCAGAGCTTGGACAAGTCTGCCCTGGCTACATAACCTTTTATTTATAAGCTCACAGCAGGTAGTAAAAACATTATGGGTAGAGGATACATTGAGGTTAGTGTGCTCTATAAAAAGAGCTTTTTTTCCCCCAAAGCCAATTCTTCCCTAAAACACCTGTTCCTGAATAACAATCTTTTCAGAGCTGGACTCTCACAATTCCAAACAATCGCGTTAGACACAGTTTTTGGAAGGGCACGTCACCCGCTCCTTGACCCCGGGCGGGGTCCTCCCTCTCCCAGACGAGGCCATCCACTTGGCCCAGGTTGTCCTCACTCCTGTGTGTGTCATGGCTACCACGGCACTGTTGTTCACTCCTTGACTTCTTGGCTTCCACGTCATCACATGACTCAATTTAGGTTTAAACAGATACAATCCCTGCAACATTTCAAATAAAATCTCTTATATCAACTTGGTTCTTTACAAACAGCACCTTAGGCATATGAATAATACAATTTATTTTACAAACAGATTTGTCAAAGTGCCAGAAATTATTTCAGAAAGACTTGACAATCTTGATAACCTCTAATTTCTAAATTCACGGTGATACCCTCAATAATGGCCTCCAAATCAAACTTATGCAATTTAAAATTACCAATTCTTTTATTAATTTTGGTAAAATGACGGCTCTATTCAGAATCAATCAACAATTTCAAAATAAGAAGGACCAACAAGAAAATATTAAACTCCAATCCCTAAACGTCAACTCTGGCAGGTATGGAAGTGCAACTTTTTCTGAAAGCTTCCTCTCCCAAGAGTATTCCTGGGGCCATCTAAACCTAAAGATAGCTTTAAAATCCTAAAAATATAATCTCACCTTCATAGCAGTGTTTGACACATGCTAAGTGCTCAAGAGATACTGTTTCAAAAATAAATGTTGAATAAAACAATTATCAAAAATTTGGGAGCTTGAAGAGATCGTCAATGTCATCCTGCCCAGCCTCCCAATTTTTAGATGAAGGAAGAGAGGTCCAGAGAGGCTGATTCACTTGTTCAACACCACACAGCTAGTTATTGGCAGAGCTGGATCTAGAACTCAGGATTACTGACTTCAAACCCACTTTGCCCATAGACTCTTTTCTTAGGTTCTGTATGCACTTGGACTTCTAAAGACTGAAGAAGCCTGTGGCCAAGAGCTCAGACCAACCTTAAGGTTCCCATAGCTATTTATTACATGAACATAAACGCATTCCCATATCAGGTCACATTACAGTGGGAATCTGCCTGGGTGTATTTACTAGAAAGAAATCAGTTTGACTTTTCCCTCAAAAACTACCTTTAAAGTAATGCTTTCTTAAAAACAAGTTAATTAGTGAAGAAATGGTTCCTATATAAGAGAAGCTAATTACAATGCCTTACATTTGGACGGTTCTTCACCATTTACAAATGCAGCCTGGATGACCCTGCAGTGCTGTTCCTTTAAGCAGCAATTAATCCTATGCCAGATGTTAGCCTGCTGTCGGTAAATGAAGTCTCAATAGCATTCTAATACTGAGAGATGAAGGTGCAGAATCTACTCGTGATTCCACTGACACAGGCTCCTCTTTGGCTTGGTGCAAGAAGTGGGGTAAGAGATAAGCAGAGGGGCTGGGCAGGGGCAAGGCTCCCTGACTCACCTCTCTTCACCGATGGCCCCGCCTAGCCTATTCTCATTAGTCAGCGCAGCCATAATTTATTTGAACAGCAGGTGGCAGAGTATGTATTTCACCTCAGACACCAAACACTTAAGTTTTGTTTTGTGTGTGAAGACTGTCGCTGAGCTAACAGCTGTGCCAATCTTCCTCTATTTTATGTGGGATGCCGCCACAGCATGGCTTGATGAGCAGTGTCAGATCCGTGCCCCAGATCCAAACTGGCAAACCCTGGGCCACTGAAGTGGAGTGCACAAACTTAAGCACTACGCCACCTGCCAGCCCCTCACTCAAGTTTTAAAAATAGTAAATGGTGATGTCAGCCTGACTTCATTGGCCTCCGAGTGAACCCAAAGCAAAGAACAGGAGAAACCTAATGAACTTTCATCACAGAAGCAGAAGGATTTCAAGACATCCGGAGCTGACTGGTTATGTCCAGTAGGTGGTGCTGCAGGACAGCTGGCCCTCCCTGTGCCCTGCTCCGTGCACGGGGACATTACCTGCCTTGGCTGGTTGACTTTTGCTCCTGAAGACAATAATAATCGAATAACATCCAAGTAACCACCTTGGGCAGCTAAGAAGAGAGCAGTGGCTCCATCCTGAGAGACAGCAAAGTTGAAAGTGTTAAAAAACCGTCTTTCACATTTATTTTAAAAGAAATTAGATTAAAAAGTACACACATTTAATACAATTTTCCACTTCTATCCCCTCCCTTTTTTCCCCATGCATGGTAACTGCTTTATTTTTTGAAGAATGATCCTAAAGCATCGCACTAAGGCAGGCAGAAAGGTAAAGTTTAAAATAGACAGTTTTACTTCGACATCAGTCTTGGCAGCGTATTTTCAAGGACCATGTCTGACTGGGCAAGGGAAACAATAGAAAAAATAAACAAATGGGACTACATCAGACTAAAAAGCCTCTGCACAGCAAAGGGAACCACCAACAAGATGAAAAGACAACCTAACAATTAGGAGAAGATATTTGCAAACCATATATCTGATAAGGGGTTAATATCCAAAACACACAAATCAAGAAATACTGGTTCAAAAATAAACACTGAATAAAACAATTATCAAAAATTTGGGAGCTTTTACATCTCAATAAGAAAAACACTAACAACCCAGTTAAAAAATGGGCAAAAGATCTGAACAGACATCTCTCCAAAGAAGATGTACAGCTGGCCAACAGGCACATGAAAAAATGTTCAAAATCATTAACTATCAGGGAAACGCAAATCAAAACTGCAATGAGGTATGACCTCACTCTGGTCAGAATGGCTATAATTAACAAGACAGGAAACAATAAGTGTTAGCGAGCATGTGGAGAGAAGGGAACCCTTCTACACTGCTGGTGGGAGTGCAAACTGGTGCAGCCACTATGGAAAACAGTATGGAGATTCCTCGAAAAATTAAGAATAGAAATACCATATGATTCAGCTATTCCACCACTCTGGGTATTTATCCAAAGAACTTGAAAACACAAAGGCATAAAGATACATGCACCCCTATGTTCAGTGCAGCATAATTCACAATAGCCAAGACTTGGAAGCAACCTAGGTGCCCATCAAGGGATGAATGGATAAAGAAGATGTGGTATATATACACAATGGAATACGATTCAGCCATAAGAAATGATGAAATCCAGCCATTTGTGACAACATGGATGGACCTCGAGGGTATTATGCTAAGTGAAATAAGTTAGAGGGAGAAAGTCAAATACCGTATGATCTCACTCATAAGTAGAAGATAAAAACGAAAAACACATAGAAACAAAGATCGGATTGGTGGTTAGAGGGGAAGGGGGGAGGGAGGAGGGCAAAAAGGATGATTAAGCTCATGTGTGTGGGCATGGATTGTAATTAGTCTTTGGGTGGTGAACATGATGTAATCTACACAGGAATCGAAATGTATAATGATGTGCACCTGAAATTTATATAATGTTATAAGCCAATGTTACTGCAATAAAAAAAATAGACAGTTTTATGATAAGTTATAACATATGTAGTGACTGTTCACTCTACAAAATCTTGGTCATAGAGCTTATGATACACCCAGCTGGCAGCAGCCGCCCAGGTTTTCCAAATAGCCAGTCATCATTTTTCTCTTGTCTCCATAGACTTCTCCTCTTAGCTGCCTTCTGTTTTGTCGCATGATCTCAGAGTCCATCCCCTTTTAAATTAGATGAAAATATATACATCTAATACAATTTTCTGTTTCAGTCATTTTGTCAATTAAGACCTAAGTATTCGTTAAAAAACAAAAAAGAAAGTCTGTCAATAAAAAACAAAAACCAAACAAATCCCCCAAATCTACTTTGTGTGCTTTTATGAATCGGGAGTAAAAAGTGCTCTTGGGATTAGATTGTGCCCGCTCCTTTCTCTTTCTTGCTCCCTTATCCATGTCTCCCCAACATGCAGTTTCTCCCAGGTTTAAAACACAAGATGCTTTCAGAAAAAACTGCCCTAGAAAGAATATCCGTGAAATCGCTCCCTGAAGGCCCAGCAGATACCACCACCACCACCTCTAAACACAACGAAGCAATCCTGCATAAAAGCCCAAGCGAGTGCTTGCTTCCAAGTTTCTTTAGTTTTCTTTTTAACTGGGTGTCTATGTCTCTTGGTCATTTGTTTTTCGTGAAGACATGCCACTGGGTAATTTTAGCAAATACATCGGTCAGCTGAGAGCATGCATCCTCCTCAGAGGCTCAGTTCACACAGATAGGACTCACAGAACACGGTGAGCTGCACTATTTTTAGACCTCAGTGGAACACCTGAGCACATCCTAGTAGAAAACACCAGGTAATCCAGCTAATTCCCACCCTCCCGTCTGGAACACTAACCACAAGTTAAAATACAAGGCACTTCTCCCTGCCAGGATTTCCAGTGTGTGTCTGCCAAGCTGCCAGACTCCCCTCCAGGCAATCATTAAAAAATTAATCACCCTTACAGGTTTTTTGTTTTGGGGTTTTTTTTTGTGAGGTAGAGTGGCCCTGAGCTAACATCTGTTGCCAATCTTCCTCTATTTTATGTGGGATGCCTCCACAGCGTGGCTTGATGAGCGGTGCTAGATACGCACCCTGGATCCAAACCTGTGAACCCCAGGCTGCCAAAGTGGAGCACGCGAACTTAACCACTATAGGCTGGCCCCCTGTACAGTTTTTTGAGCAGAAGTTTGATATGGGGGATAAAATTTTCAGCTGCTCCTTACTGTGTTGCCACAGAAAGTCCACTATGCCCTTATCAGCTGATAACTCTTGGGAATTTTCTAAAACAGATATCCAGGTATCGGATTTTTTACTGTGCATTACAATTTCTGTTCCTAGAAGTTTTCAGGGATCATTGACCAGGATCCCCCATATTTCAATGTTTTTAATGGCAACATTTACATTTGGACTATTTGGGCAAGGGTAAAAGTCAACATAAAATGGAAGTTCTGCTGCATGGAACTTCTTGAATCACCTTATAACAGAGAGTTTACAATGGGAATGGGTTCTCCCCAAACTCTATGTTTCTAAGATTATGTGCCACCCCGATGCGACTTCAGAAGAATATTATCTAAGAGTACAAAGTCTACACCCACAGTCAGTTTGGAGTGCTGACTATGGAAGGTAATGCTATGAAAATCACAACTCATTTTCCTTTTCCAAAAACTTGGGCTCTCCCTCTTCACCCTACACATACATAGACTAATACACACGCTCAGATACACTTCACCTACATGCAGCCAAAGAAAGAGCCACAGCTGTAGACTTGTGTTTCTTAGACTTGGCCAATTGTCAGAACCACCTGTGGCCAAGCTGCACCCTCAGAGACTCCAGCTTAGTGGGTCTGTGGGGGGCCAGGGAAGTGGTATTTTTCAAGCTCCCTAGGTGACTGTAATGGGCAGCCAGAACTGAGAATCACTCCTTTAGACCATTATCAAGTAATTCAGCCATTCAACTGGGAAGGAATGCTGCAGGCTCAAAGAGGGTTACAGGTTTTGAAGTGCAAAGGGTAAGGCTAGTTGCTATGTACTTCAAGGAGGTCTGTGATCTGTCAGAGTTAAAGAACTGTGTAAACTCTGGGAAAAGTGTTCAAATGGAAAAGTTCACACCTACACATCTCACTACACATCTATGAAAGTACAGTGGCCCAGGGGTAAGTGCTAATGTTTAGCTATAGGATAGCCTAAAATATGGTTTCCAGATAACTGAAGGCAGGAATTCTTCCACTCCTCACCATAAGACCATGTCAAGTCACTTTATCTCCCTATATTTTATTTTTTCCTACAAAGCCAGAATAACATTTGCCATAAACCCTACGGAATTACAGTAACAATCAATTACCAGAGCCCTTGAGTAACATGCTCATTGCCAGTTAGCTGCACACGGACCCACACCGGCAGTGGACGCCTTTCAAAGGTCACCGACATGCACGTATTTCACAGGTCTTCAGCCACCCAACCTCACTTCTCTTCCAAACAACTTGATTTCTCGTTTTTTGTGTCCTTCCTCCCAAATAACTCTACAATAGGAAAATTCATTTTGGTTTTCAGCAAGTCCATATGCCAGGCTTGTCATGCTATGACTAAGTGTGTATCACATGAGTTTTGAAGATCCTGATTGTGTAGGTACATGAAATAGCTCATACGTACAAGAGACTTAAAAGGGCAGAACAAAGATGGGTAAAGAAGATTATGTGGTTTCGACTCAAAGAAGCTCATCTGGTTAACTGTATGTTTTTTCCCTGATATCTCAGATTACAGTTCTACTGTTCATTAAAATATGTTTGAAGTTGGCATTTCTGGCATCTGAATTTACATGGCAATGGAATGTGTGCTGAGGGGATGAGCAAGCATCCACCTAGTGTCCCTTCGAAACGCACTCACATAAAGTTGGTCGTGGATGTTGGCTCCATGTTTCAGCAAGGTCTCCACCACCCGCATGTGCCCATACTGACTGGCAGCCAACAGGGCAGTGCCCCCGTCCTGTGGACACACAAAGTAGAGACACATGAGAAACAGTGAGGGCATGTTTCACCAAGCAGACGCTCCTCGCACAGGGAGAACTCTGGAAAAGAATTTTCCCATAGATAATAACAAACTCACTTTTCCTCTTTTATCTCTTACTTTTTCTTTATAATCAAGACAGGCTTCATCCTAAGGATATCATTCTGTTGTACACTTGCATGACTTGCTTGAGATATATTACAGTTATGTGACTAAGTTATTATCATTCACTTAGAAATTTCCCAGGCCAAATGCAGAATCAGCTATCTGCCTCTCACTAAGGGAAACAAAGCATAGAAAGTTCTGTCCTACAATTACCAGAACAGTCTCCTGTGGCTTCTGGCCAGACACCCTCCTGACAAACGCTGGCTTCTCCCTGGGGTTCCACTCAGTGGTAGGCCTCTGAGATTAAGGTGGTCTTACAGGGTAACTCTGGGGCCACTGCCTTCACTGGACAAGCTCTGCATCCACTAAAAGAGCAGATAACTACAGCATATTCCCTGTGCCTCTCACCACCCTGCTTAGGATTTTCCTCTGAGCACGTGCCAAGTTGTCCAGATCTCTTGTAAAGCGTGGGCCCTAGAAACAAACAAAGCCCTGTAAAGTAGATGTGGTCTGATGCAGAGGGGACGCTCATTTGTTCCAGCTAGTCTATTTTTATCTCTGTGGGCTAAATTAGAACTAGCTTTTACTCCAACCACATCACACTCCCAACTCACTGAGTTTGGGGTCAACTGAAACCCTTCATGGTTTTTCTCAGGTGCTGCAGCTCAGCACTTATCTTTTCCCATCTAGGATTGTTGTGTTGTTTGTTTGGCTCCGTGAACTGGTATGTGGACTTGTGAGCTAATTATAAAGAATGCAAGAACATGTATACCTGGTTATAAAGTACAAATCATACATTTAAGATAGTGTGGTTTCTAAATTGTACATAGAGTGTTTATTCAAAATGCCTACCCTCGGAGCCCCATCCTCAGAGGGTCTGATTCAGGAGGTCTTGGGTGAGGCCCAGAAATAGGCCTTTTGACTGGTCACGTGAGGTGACTGCGGTGCGCAGGTGGCAGGTGGCCTCACTTGGAGAAACACTGCTACCAGAGCTACTGCACTCACAGGCGGGTCAGATCCTGGGGGATGCACACGGCGGAGCAAGGCTCCAGCAGGGGACGGGCTGTGTGGTGGGAAGAGCTGCGTTCTGAAGGGTGGGGAATGAAGGAGAGACTGGAGGGCTGAGCTAGCGGTGGTGGGGGTGTAGGTGGGGTGAGTGGGCATCAAGAAATTGCTCAATAGCAGCAATGAGCACCAGTGTCTCCAAGTTTTGTTCTGTCAATTTTCCAGCTCTTTGCCTAATGAGACAGGAGAATAGATAAAAATATGATGATTGCCATAGAAGAGCTGATACTTCTTATTTTTAAAAACACATCGTTGGGGGATATAGATTTAATAACAATGACAACTGTTGACACAAAGTCAGTTTTGACGACAGGATCATATGAAAACTCAAAGCCTCTCAGTACTCTCTTCTTCCCATGGAAAGCTCTCGGACGCCTGCGCTGACCTAATGGGAACGTGGAATTACTCACCCTGGGCCCCCTGTTCCGTGGATTTCTGGGATAGCACACACTGGCTCACATACAAGGCGTTAAACCAGCATTAACTCGCTAACCAAGATGACTGAAGCAGCCATGATCATTTTGACCCACACGATCATTTTGAGTTAGTTCAAAGAGCTGAGACTTAGCTTTGTAGAACTTTACTTTCTATTTTTAGTTGCATCACTTTTATAATGAAAAATAAAATGATAATTAATACAAAAATATATATCCACACAGATACCTTGGATTACCATATCTTATACTCAGCACGTGTGGATGCATGTATGCAGTCCAACAGGAGGTTCAGAAAACACAGAGACCTATCTGAAATTCAGATCTACTTAACAGTTAGCATTTTAACAGGAAAAAAAAAAACCCACTGGAAGCTCCCCTGATATCAAAATATCACATACAATGGATTAATAAAGCCTAAAAGTTTCCAACTGGGGCAAATTTTCAGGAATTTTTTGTTATGATTAGACCAGAAATAAGTTAACAATTACAAAACTGTTATGGCAGTTCAAATTCTCCTACTACAAAACATTTTCATGAAAAATTATATTGTGAACACAAAATGGATCTTTCTGCACTCTCAGTTTTCTTATCCATACATCAAATATGAAGACTCAATGACTTTTTTTTCTTTTTTTTTTTTTGGTGAGGAAGATTGGCACTGAGCTAACATGTTGCCAATCCTCCTCTTTTTGCTTTAGGAAGACTGTCACTGAGCTAATATCCAAACATTGCAGGATCGGAATCTGAACCTATGAACCCTGGGATGCCGAAGCAGAGTGCGTGAACTTAACTACTACGCCACCAGGACAGCCACTGAAAAATCAACGAGTTCTCTAAAGGAAGAACCACAATTCCTTGCCCAACTATATAAGCTGTAGTCATATATTATATATTTCAGTGTAGACTTCTCAGAAAGTAAACTGCCTGCCAAATCACCCTCCTTAGAAGTCTCTCAGATTCACCAGGATGGGCTTAGTACTTCTGACAATCCCTATCACAGCACTGGGATTAACACTGAAGCAGAAAAAAGCGCCTGAAAACAGGAAAAGTTATACAGCACCTGCTCCTATATCCATTCTGATAACGCGATTTACTGTCCCAGAGTAGAAAGCTACCAGAGCGAGAAAGAATCTAAGTAATTCCCCATAAATTCTCCAATTGGAGCCCAGAGTACAAATGCAGTGTTTTGAATTGAATCCCTGGACAATCCCTGAACCATAAGTAACCTGTGAAACCCACCTTCTTAGGCTTGAAAGTCTGATAACAAGAGAAGCACAAATTCACACTCTAGATGAAGAGAAACGAATACTCATGACTGCCAAAATTCTTCAACAGGGTATCAAATCAAGAAAGTTCTCTTACTTTGGTCCTGAATTCAGTGGATGCTCCAAATTCAAAGAGAAATCTCACGACGTCATTATGCCCTTGTTGGGCAGCGAAGAACAGGGCGGTTGTGCCTGACTGGGAGAGAGAAAGAGGCTGGTTTTACAAGACATTTGGTTACATCACATTTGATTTATACATCTGTAAACAAAACACGAAAATATTGTTGCATATTAACCTTCTAGCCTAGAACGGGGCTACTTTTGAACTGACTGTATTCCTTGTTCATAGAAGTGACAAGATAAAAGGAAAACTTGACTCTTGATGTAACGGATGAATGGTAGACGCCCAAAGGATATGTCCCCATCCTAATTCCCGGACCTTGCGAATATCACCTCACAGGGCAAAAGCTGTGACTAAGTTAAGGATTTTTAGAGGAGGGGCTTATCTTGGCCCATCCCAGTGGGGCCTAAATCCAACAAGCATCTTTATAAGAGTGAGGCAGGGGGATATTTAACACAGAGAAGAGGAGGAGACAATGTCACCACGGAGGCAGGGATGAGAGCGACGGGGCCACAAGTCAAGGAATGCCCAGAGCTGCCAGAAGCTGGAGGAGGTAAAGCTGGAAAGCTTCCAGAAGGAGTACCACCCTGTGGGCAGCTCAAATTTTCTGGCCTCCAGAACTGTGAGAGTACACCTTTCTGTTGTTTTAAGCAAATCTAGTGGTGGTAATTTGTTACAGCAGCCACAGGAAACTAATATGCTTGGCATCTTGTCTGGGAAACACTGGCATTCATTAACAGAGGGAAGAACTGTGGTAGAGCTCCGGTTACAGAATTTAGTGCCCCAGAGGAGAAGGCTACCAGTGCAAGAAAGAATCTATTTTCACTCAACTGGCCTCAAAATATCCTCAAAATAGCTCATATTAACAAAAAAGAGCTTGATTTCAAATTTTAAACTGATCAATGACATTCTGAGACACAATTTTTAGCATCCTTTCTTCCCAGCCATTTTTACAAGTTTACTCAAAGATTGGTACCCAAATCATTATTTAAGATGGGCAAAATCACCATACCACTCTTGTGAGCAATATGTATTTCCCATCTGAAGATGCTGTTCACTCCAGTGCTTTGAGCACAGATGAAGCTAACATTCTCCTTTCCCAGGCACAGTGAAGAGAAAATCCTCTTTCTACAGCTTACCCGGAAATGTTAGTGGCGGGTTCTTGCCCAGGTGTGAGAAGCCAGGAAGAGCATGTCCTGAGGATTACTAATCACTCTGAAGCTTGTTCTTAAGGGTGTGTGTGTGACAGGGAGCAATGAGGTCCACCACTGTGGCAGAACGAATGATAACACCTTCCCAGTTCACGCCCCCTGCGAGGCTCTGCCCCAGGAAGGCACAGATGACGTGACCATTCCCAGAGCCTTCCTGCCTGCAATGCAGGAGTGATCCTCTCCTTGGTTCCCACAGAAATGAGTAGGAAGCACCCTCATTGCTTTCTTACAGTGGAGGACTCTGGGTTCCAAAAACCTTAAGATGTAACCATGTCTAGTCGAAGAAACTGAGTTAGAAGAGGAAAACTTTCATCTTCTTAATAGACATTAAATTTTAGAGACTACCAGGGGTCATTTCTAGGAATTGTTTCTTCAGTAAGAGGAAGGATTCATTTTTCAATAAGCTTTTGAGTCAACTTGGAACACACACATATACTATTAATCATTGTGCACATGAACGCAGCAATCTGTAGACAAGAGGAGCTAGATGTCAGTCTGGAACATGAATAAAGGTCTTATGTGCACGCACTTTACTACCGAACCCCAGTGCTTCAGGACAACTGCACATGCAGCTCCCATGCCTGAGAGCTGCACTCAGCCAACACTGCTGGTTCTCTAGAGCAACGGTCTTTCAGGACCATTAGCTCCCAGTTTGTCTTCTAGCAAGTTCCTTGTGTCTAGATAGCCAACCTAAGTAAACAATGGCAGGTACTTTTTCAGAAAACAAGTATTCTGATATTGTAAAATGGATTAAGAATGAACCCGGTAGAAGTCTGCTGCATGAGCAAGTCCCACAGCACTGCTGGGGACTCTGCTTCCAAAACAGACAAGGTGAGGTTGTGGCCTCTCTTTGGCTTAGCAGCTCTATCACCCAAGACCTGCACGGGCTCAGGAAATTCAGGGGGCCACTGGGAACTGACAGAGCATCATCATTTGAGACATAAATTGGGCACATTTTGGTAAGTCCTCAAGGGCCACTGAGTTCAACACACAACTGTTTTCATCTCCAAGAACCTAAGCTGAGCAATTGGAACCAAACAGATAAATATAAAATCACCAAAACCATATATTGGCTGGAGATGAAACAACTGTTTCTCTTCTTCTCTCAGCTTTTCTCAATTGTTCTGAAGAGATTTCTGTGCATGTTGAACTTACCCTCCAGGATAAAGGTTTTTGACTAAGCAGATCTGGATCATAGTGTTTGTATCAGAGAAAAATCTGTCTTTTCTTTAAAGTTATAATAAACAAAGACTGTAAAGCAGAGAGGAAAAATAAAAAGATTAAGGCAATTTTAAACTATAATACTAAATGGGTCCAAACATGTTCCTCCCAGAGGGAAATTAGCTGCTGAAATGAAAATAACCTAAAACAATGACCCAGTGTCATGGAAACTGCGCAGAAGTCTGTGAGATTGATCAGATTTGCTGTAGTTTATACCGCTCCTCTCAACAGACCACGCTTGCCGATCCAGGACTACAGAGAATCAGACTCCACATTCTATCTGTCAAGTGTCCCTCTTCCATGGGCCATGGCCAAGGTGACACCCAGGGGCGAGATGGAAGGGATTTCTAGATGCCCTGTGGAACATCCAGCCCTTAGACCTGGTGAGTCTTAATTTGCTCCACTCAGCAGTGGCGGTCCAGCCTGGAAGATGGGTATACTGGTTGAGGAAAGTTTGATTGAGGAATCATCCTTTCTGAAACAGCAAGTGCAGGGCAAGCCCTCGGATAAGAGTGGATCAAGGAAAATTAAGAGCTCCAGTCTAGTTCGAAGCTTGCCTGAGGATGCCCCTCTTGGGTCTGAGTCAGTGCAGACCGAGAGGTCAGACTGACCCTAGGGATGATCTGTGGATGTGTCTCCACGAAGCTTAATTCACCAGGCCCTAGCTCGGCTCAGAAACACATGGAGCCTCCTCAGACCCACGTCCCAAAGCATGTCAAAATGTCCCAGCCTCCAACTGCTCCTCTACATGGACCAAGAATGGGTCCCCGGGCCAGACCAAACTCCCGAGATTGCCCTTGAAGGAAGTGTGGGGACATGCTCACATTTCAGTCCAATGTTCACTACGTGGCTTTTTTGGGGGGACCTTATTTAATGCACGGCCAGTCAGAGAAGTCCTCTGAACACACGGTTTGGTGAGGATGGCTGAGAGAGTCTAGCAAGTGAGCCTCATTAAGAACAGGCTGGTGACCCACCTTCTAAAAATATAATGATCTCCAGGAAAATCCTGTAAGTTCTACAGCACTTCTCCCAAGGGAAGAAGGAAGAACTGATTCAAGCTTGGGATGAAACGTATGCGTGTTTAAGGAATGTGGTTAGAGGTTTGGTTACCTCAGACAGCAACACATGCTTGAGAAGATACATTCAACTCAAGTACAACCAATGGTCCATTCCTGGGCCTTATTTTAGGCACAATAAAGTCTGCAATCTGGGCTTTAATGTTAAGTAGGAAAAAAGCATGATTACGCTTGTCTTCCTTACGAATTCACTATTGTGAGAATGTTGAATCTCTGTCACCTGGGTCATTCTTATTCAAGAGTGAAACCTGACCTACCTCTCTCTGGAGATTGATGTCTGCTCCTTGCAGAACCAGTTCCTTCACACAGTCTATGTGACCAGCGTAGGAGGCAACCATGAGGAGCGTGGTGCCATGCTGGATGGAGGACAGACAGAACATTAGGCCATCGTACGTCAGAAGAATCCTGGAGAAGAGGCTGCACAGATGTCAGCTCCACTCAGGACACAGCCAAGCACAAAATTCCCCCCAGAAATAAACGTGTCTCATGAGTAATCTTATAATGCAGACTATACGGGAAAAAGCAAAGCAACAAATTGCTGAGGCTGGAATTTTCGGTTCAAAGTTTCACTTACTTCTATTACCTTCAGAAATGCAGGCCAAGCAAACCACAGTCGCTGCATTTTAAGGCAGCAGCTATTTAATGGTCTCACTTTATGATTCATATTAAATGATTCCTGAGCCAAAACAGTTATTAATGCAAAAAACGAGATAAGTGCTACCAGCTGGTTTTCTAAGTTTCAAAGTCTATCTTCACACTGATTTGGGTAAAGATGAAAGGCACCTCGAAGAAATCAAAGACGATAGAGGAGTCAAGAGCCCTGGGGTCAAGTCCACCTCTGTCATCAACCAACAGTGTAACCTGGGGCAGGCTGCTTACAATTCTCAGGGCTCACTGACTTCATCTTTAAAGTGAGGGGCTGAACAGGATGATCACCAAGGTCTCTTCCAGCTCTAAGATCCAAGGACCTGAGCCGTACCATCTCCTATGGACCCTTCCAATTCAAGCGGACTTTGCAGTTTAATTTACAGTTGGTTCCAAGGGCTTGAAATTGTAATCTGAACCACCACCTCTGCATATGCAGCAAGCTGCCTTTCAGGAGTGGATGACAAGAGACGGACGGTTCTGCACATGAGGGCTCACTAGGTATGGAGGATGAGTAACACTTAGAAGCCTCCTGTTTCTTACATCTGTGGGATTTGTAGAGGGCAGTACAGCTGAGTGGTCACTGACACTGATCTTGGGCTAGTTATCTAAGCTCTCAAAGGCTCATTCTCCTCATCTGCAAAATTGGGGAATAATAAAAGTACCTGCGCAATTAAACTAAATGAGAAAAAGATAATTCAGGCAATGTGCTTAGCACAGTAACGTTAGATATTAATTGAGTGTTAGATATTAAAATATTATGACGGTTCAGTAAATACTAGTTGTCATCCAGCTTCTGTTGACTTTTGTGAATGACAAAGACAGTTTGGGGAAAGTCCTCATTACTATATATGAAAAGTACAGGTAGAGCCACCCCGGTGGCCTAGTGGTTCAAGTTTGGCGCTGTCACTGCTTCAGCGGCCCGGGTTCCTCTCCCGGTTGTGGAACCACATCACCCGTCTGCTGGTTGCCATGCTGTGGTGGCAGCTCACATAGAAGAACTAGAAGGACTTACAACTAGGATATGCAACCGTGTACTGGGGCTTTGGGGAGGAAAAACAAGAACATGGCAACAGACGTTGAGCTCAGGGCGAATCCTTCCCTGCAAAAAAAAAAAAAACCTCAAAAATTTGTGGAATTTTTTGTGGCAAGCTTGGTATTACTAAGTTCCTGAATGTGAGAAAATTGGTATTTAGAATGTGGACAGAAGACTGTTTAATTTAAAGCCAGGCTGAAAAGATAAGCTATGAATGTACCCTCTACATGAGAGGTGAGAAAATTTTCTTACCACGGGTCCACTGGTCTCAAAATACAAATCTATGATGAGCCAGAGGAAGCACAGAGCACTTAATTTGGATATTTAAAAAAGAAAATAAAAAGTCTTAGGCTCATCTGTTTTAAAGTAAGGAAAGATGAATGAAACAAATGTTTCTTTACAGATTGTATTTCAATTCTACATCATGGTCAATTGAGAAAAAGTCAGAAGCTGGGACAAAAGAGAAAGAGGATAAAGAAGTGGTGTCGATGCATTAAGCTACACAAAAGTACTTCCTTTATATGCAAAACCTATTAGCTGGATTGATTTTAATTCTCTAAAGATTAAGTTTACCTCATTTCATTGCCTGATGTTAAAATGTATCTTTTAAAAACTAGCTGATTCTAGGGGCAGGCCCAGTGGCATAGTGGTTAAGTTCAGCACACTCCCCTTGGAGTCCTGGGTTCAGATCCTGGGTGCAGACCTACCCCACTCATCAAGCCATGCTGTGGTGGCGTCAGGGCCACTCTTCTTCAAGCAAAAAAGAAAAAAAAGAAAGAAAGAAAAGAAGAAGATTGGCAACGGGTGTTAGCTCAGGGCCAATCTTCCCTACCAAAAAACAAACAAAAAAAGAACCAGTTGATTCTCACTAGAGGATATAATGGATATAAATGTAGTGAAGACCACAACAAACAAGATAGTGAAATACGTAACTCATACATCTAAAAAGCCTAAAGAACCCTGCCATCACACATCTTTGTGGCAAATGTGTGTCAGAGAGATGAGCAAAGCAAAAAATGTACACATCATGCGAAGACAGCATCAATCTAGGAATGGAAGATGAATGAGGGTTAGCCAATCAGAGCTCTGCCATACAGTGGGTGGCCTGGAGATAATGTATTTGTTCTTTACAATGCTATTTGTTGCAAGAGTTTGGACATGGTAACACCCGAGGTTGGGAGTGGCTCCCGTGGAAGCCCCCGCCTCTCCTTGCAGTCTAACAGCTCTCACAGGTGTCCTGGGTGATCCTGAGACTTGACCCTATTATCGAGGGCAGTGCTAGCCAAGAGTCATTCGCCGCCAGAAGAAACCATCCTGGCACGCACACTTGGCGTCCAGGTGGCACGTGGAGGAGGCAGAAATCCACCTGGTGAGACTTCGAGGGAACAAAGGCCTGCGCTGTTCCCAGACAGCCCCCTGCCTCTGTCACCACTAATCTCAGAGGTCATTTCAAAACAAATGAGCTGTCTGAATTGCCATCATTTACACTTGCTCCTTTGGGTAAGGAGTCATTTCTCCAGAAAGCTCCTGATAAAATGACTTTTTGTTTTAAACAAATATGTTAACCTATAAACATATTAGTAACCGTTCATAGAAGAAAATTTTTTATCAAAATAGCTACCGGTCACCCAGCAGACAGACAGAGACAGAATGTCAGCTCTGAGGGAAAAGGAGGTGGTAAAGGACAACTGACTTGTGAGAGAGAAAGCACGCTGGAAAAGTTGGAAGGATGGGTGCTGTCTGGGGTGGGGTGGGCAGGATGTGTGTGGCAGCGTCAGTGGCCCTGGGAAGCTGGAAGTCAGGAGAGGGTCACAGGGGTGTCTGAAAAGGGCGACAACTTCAAGAAAAAGGGGCAAGGGGGTCATCAATGTGGCAGTGAATGAAGCCACAATGAAAACTGGCATTCCTACTCCAGTCTTCCCCAGCGTGGCCATGCTGCCCAGTAAGACCCAAGACTAGTTCACAGATGCCCAAGACTCCACATCAGCCTGCGTCCTGAGGAACAGATGGTACATTCAAACGGGGATGACTGGAAGGATGTTTAATAAAGAGACTATTCCTAAAGCTGTGCCCCAGGTGTAGTGAAACTACAAAGAACAGTGTAAGACTGGGAGCTGGTAACAGTGGGGCTCCAGCGTCAGCCCAAGCCGGAAGGCATGGGGGGAAGGCAGTGGCTCCCAGGACACACAGAGTGAGGGCACGGCTACCAGAACAGAATAGGGGCGCTCACTGGGCTCCTAAAAATTCCTGTCCTCTCATTCTCTGATTTCTACCAATGCTGCCATTGGCTAAACCCAACTGGAGGCCAGAGGGAAGTCAGTCCATCCAGGGTAGGCCCTACAGTTCACACGGTGGGCCACGGTGCAAGCTGGAGAAGGGAGGAGCAGATGTGCAGGTGCAAACGCAAGGTACTCTGCACTGATGCCCCCAGTGGGCGACAGCTCACTCTGTCTGGCGGCTGATCTCAATTACCAAATTTGTGCAATAAAAGCTGGAAATGGCACATCTTGTTTTCAGGAAAATAAGGCTCCTTTGAAAAACGTTTTTATTTAAATCCTAAAATCAAAACATCTCTACTCTATCTGAGGTCCTCCTTGTCCCCAGAGACATGAAGTCCCACTAGTACAGCGAAACCATTGCCTCTAGCTGGGGAGGGAAGGGCTCTCAAAGCAATGCCTGCAAGTGGGCGGTAGTATCTATTTTTAGTTCCCCTTAATTGCCAATTGGTGTATTGCTGTTTGCAAAGGTAAGGAAAGGAGGAGAGGCTGAGTGGAGGCTCCTTTCTCAGTTCTCTCATCCTTGTAGAAAACACAACTCCCACCTCCACCGCAGCCCACTTCTGCCCTACACTATCTCCAGCTTTTCACAGGACGAGTCGGTTTGAATTCCCTGACTAAACGCCCTTTCCTGCTGGCAATGTGCCGACTCTGACTCCCAGCGAAGCGCCTCTTTCCCTAGCATGGCCGTCGTTTTATGTAGGTAGTGGTTTCCCCCAACGTCTTTTTTCTTGCCGTTCTTTGATTTTTTTTTAACCTGTAGAGGTAAGCTCAGAGCAGTGAGGAGACTTGCAGTGACCGGGTGGGGCTCAGGGCATGAACAGAGCAGGGTTTCTCAACCTCACACTGCTGACATCTGGGGCCGGCTGTGTGGTGAGGACGTTTAGCAACGTCCCTGGCCCTGCCTCCCCAAGATGGACAACTAAAAATGTCTCCAGACACTGCCCGATGTCCCCTAGCAGATGAAATGGCCCCTGGTTGAGGGCCACTGGATTAGAGAACTAGTCAGGGCATCAGATTGATGAGACCTGGTGACAAATGGAGTGTGGGAGTAAGAGGGCAGGGAAGGGAGGTGGGTGTCCAGCATGACTGTGGGGTCTCCATCCTGGGTGGGTGAAGGTGCCAAGCACTGGGGTGGGAGACCAGGAGGCACGAAGCGCAGGTTTGAGGAAAGTGACATGTCTGGTTTGGACAGAAAAGCAACAACCATGATCTCCACTTATCGAGAGGCAGTTTCACCCAAGGGTTAGTGGTGTGAACCCCGGAACCCGACTGCCTGGGTTTACCAGCTTGGTGACCTTGGGCAAGTCACTCATTTCTGCAATGGAGATGATAATAGAAGCTACCTCATAGAGTTGGTGTGAGGGCTAAATGAATAATCGAAGGGCCATCCATGACTAGTGGCTATAGTATCAGACAGCAAAGCTGTATGGATGTTATCTGGCTTGAGGTTGACTTTTCCCCTAATGTCTTTTGAAGTTCACCATGTCACCCTGGACTTTTTGAAAAGGATCAAGCTAGCAAATACATGAAAAAGTAGGTAAGGGGCTGGCCCCGTGGCCAAGTGGTTAAGTTCGCGCGCTCCACTGCAGGCGGCCCAGTGTTTCGTTGGTTCGAATCCTGGGCGCGGACATGGCACTGCTCATCAAACCACGCTGAGGCAGCGTCCCACATACCACAACTAGAAGAACCCACAACGAAGAATATACAACTATGTACTGGGGGCTTTGGGGAGAAAAAGGAAAAAATAAAATCTTTAAAAAAAAAAAAAAAAAGTAGGTAAGCATTGTAAAGAAACATGCATTCGTGAGGAACTCTCATGCCAACAGGGGAAGGGGCATGCTCCTGGCCCGCGGCTGCCGAGCGAGCCCGTCCGTACACTGTCCCTGCAGTCGACGTCCACCCGGCCGCTGTTCAACAACAGCCGAAGCAGGGCCAGGTTGCCTCTCCTCGCTGCCCAGAACGCGGCGTTGGCAAGCGGAGTTTCCTTCTGCAGAACAAAATGAAACAGGATCTTAACATTGACGTTAGTCAACATGACCACTTCTACACAAACCTGCAATCCCATTCAAAGGTGGAATTTCCACGTGTCCCATCCTTTGAAAGATGGCTCCTTCAGCAATAGATGACTGCAATACGCTTGGCCATGGGATGCACTGTCTCACACCAGACACCTGAGCCACGCGGTGCGCTGCAGAGCAATGCTGTCGATAACACAGCACTGTGAGTCCTATTTCCCACCAGCGCCCTCACTCTCCTGCCTCTGCGTCTTTGTTCACAGTTTCCTGTTTGCTTGAAATGACTTTCCCCCATCCTTCAAGGCCAAGGCTCTGCTTAAAGGCTATTTTCTCCCTGAAATGTTCTCAAATCTCACTTCACCTCTCAGCAGCGGTACATCTCTCCCAATTCTGACCTCCCGAAGGAGTTTACTGTCCCTTCTCTGTGCCCCAGCACCTTCTACCTGATTCCAGCTGTCTGGGTAAACACCTCACTTTCCCGCCACTGAACTCTCTTTGCTTCAGCTGGAACTTGCCAGAGGTGTCAGTTGAGAACAAGGAACTCTGGGCAGAAAATGCTGTTCCATGTCCTTGTATGGATCCTTCATGCCACTGCTGGGTCATCTGAAAGCCGCAAAGTTAATGCTGGAACCATATCTATGGGAGGAAGAGAACTGGAAAACAGTTCTCCAAAAAGAGAGTGGCAGAGAGGACTGCAGCGCACCTTCCTTCTCTAAAACCAGTCGACCTGGAGCTGCAGAGCACAGTGCCTGGCGGAGGGGGGAAGACGGCTTCTGGACACAGACAGCTCTGGGTTTCATCCCCAGCCCTGCACAGGTGACTTGGCCCACTGAGTCTCGGTGTCCTGTGGTTTAGACGGAGACCACATTACCTGCCTTGAAGTTTCCAGTAAGGATCAAATGATGTAGGTTAATTGGCTAACACGTGCCCAACACGCCACAAATGCCTACAAATGCTAGTTCTCTTCCCTCTATCTACTTTTCTTTACAAAGTTAGAATCAATAGGCAAAATTAAATTCAGAGTAGTATTGATACTAATAAAGAATTCTGCCGGTCTCAGGAAATTTTCTAGTATTTAAAGTGTTTGACAAAAACACTTTTTTTGGGTGGGCTTAGAACACCTATTTGACCCAAAAGGCCTTTTACACACTATGTCTTTTAAGTACATTGATAAGGTATTAAGTACAATACCTAACTTACCTACGCAAAGTTAAAAAGAAAGATCAACAATTTCAGCTACTCCACAGAGCCATCTAAAATGAAAGCACAGTGACAGGAGAGTGATGGTGACATTTATTGGTGCAAGGATTTCATTTCAGAAGCCCTTCAGCTCATACACAACTGTGTCTTCTTGTGCATTCTTGGATGAGAACATGGCAAAACAGGGAGTTTTGCACATTACAAACACAGTTTGAATAGTTTTCTGGCTCAGTTAGGAGGAAAAAAAATCACCTCAAATTCCAGATGAACAATTTGCTGTCCATGAGGGTATATATTTTACTGTCCCAGGGACGTTGCAGCCAAACTGCCATGGTGCGGTCCACACCCAGCGTGTGTGGCTTTTGCACCAGGCTGGGTCTAACGTTGCAGTTGTTAGTAACTGGGTGAAACAAAGGCAAGACAGCTTTGACTTGCATAATGAATCACCAAAAAACGCCCTTTTAGTAAAGAGATTGCTCAAGGCCAAAATGAGGTCTGCGAGGGAGAATTAGGAAGAGAAATTAATATGCACCACGAACTGCTCTGGTGGTTTTTCCTGAAACATAAAAACTTGAAAGTAATACATTATAAATTGTTTTCAGTGATTTTGTTGTTTTACTTTAACTCCCAAAACCTTTCAAAAACCATCTGCAAACCGCAAGCGTCTACTGTCATAACGAGGCCTCAACCAAGAGCCGCTCCTGCCTTTAGGATGGCCTTGGGACTCCTCTCCTGCTCAGGCTAGAAATCCTGGTTTCCTATAAGGTTCTAGAAACTGAGCTTTGTGAAAAGTTGTGAATATTTCATTTTCCCTCAGGGGCTTGCTTTCCTGGGAGGGGGACGCATGACAGGAGCAGGTGATTTGGGGCAGGAGCGAGCTGAGTTTAAGTCCCGACCCTGCTACCTCCCGGCTCTGTGGCCTTGGGCAGGTTATTTAACATCTCTCTGCCTCAGCAAAATGGGAACAATAATAACAGTACTTCATGCACATGTTCTTGGAGGATTAAATGAGATAATACACGTAAATGCTCTTTGACAGTAAATACTCAAGAAATCTAGCTATACATGCACAGCCCTCACACCTTTTTAAAATACTCGTCCAGGGGCCGGCTCCGTGGCCGAGGGGTTAAGTTAGTGCGCTCCGCTGCGGCGGCCCAGGGTTTGGATCCTGGGCGCGGACATGGCACTGCTCCTCAGGCCACGTTGAGGCGGTGTCCCACATCCCACAACTAGAAGGACCTGCAACTAAGATATATAACTATGTACCGGGGCGGGGGGGTGGGGGGGTGGGGGGTGGGTTTGGGAAATAAAGCAGAAAAAAAAAATTGGCAACAGTTGTTAGCCTAGGTGCCAATCTAAAAAAAAAAAAAAAAAAAATACTTGTCCAGGCGAATTTATTTACTTGGTCACTAGCATGTGCTGGGACAGTGGCACTGGCCAGGGGCTAGGCCTAGATGTACGAGTCAACCTTGATTCCTGCTCACAATGGCTTTATGGCCCAGCAGGAAAATAAGCCATGTCAACAGGCATCAGATGTTATTACAGGTGCTAGGGTAGGAAATGCAGACTTGTGAGAGCAGAGAATGGTCAATTCTACCTGAGGAAGGTGGCCAGGAACGGTTTCAAAGAGAAGGAATTCTTGAGAAGAGTTCTGAAAGATGAGTATTGGCCTGAGTGACGAGCATCGCAGGCTGACGGGGTGGTGAAGCTAAAACATGGAGGCTCGTCACAGCGTGTGGGAACCGTCTCCACCAAGGGTGGGCTGCAGTGAAGGGGTGTGAGGGCGAGAGCCAAGAGATGCTGCAGAGTAAGCAGCCAGGGCCAGATCCTGAAGGCTCTGCTGTGCCATGCTACAGAGTTTGTGCCCGATCCTGGCAGGCACTGGGGAGTCAAGGACGGGTTTTAAGGTGAGGAGAGACTGTCGGTTTTGCGTTTCAGGAAGGCTCCTGTGGCAGCCTCAGAATGAACTGAGGACTGGAGCCAGATGGAAACTGGTGTCAACAAGGCTCAGGAGGCTGTGACGCAGACTGGGCAACAGGCAGTGAGGGCCCGAGGGAGGCAACAAAAGTGAGCGTGGCAGGATGAGACAGCTGGGAGAAGTTTTAAGGACCCAAACTGAACAGTTTTGGCCTGCGACTGTGTGTGCAGGAGAGGAGGGAGAAGGAATCTAGACCGACTCCAGGTTTCTGGTTTGAGTGCCTAGTTGATTTGGTGCCATTCCTAGAAGTCAAAAATACCCTGTGAGGGAAAGGTTTTGGGAAAAAAAGGCTGAATTCACCTTTGAACATGCCGAGTTTCAAGGGCCTCCGGGGCATGGCTCAGTGAAGTGGGCACTGTTACTATCTCACTACACAGAGGAGCCAGTGAGAAGCGACAAGGCAGGCTTCAGCCCCTGGCAGGCTGGTGCCTGAGGGGGCCTTTTAGCCACCATACTGTTCTGCCTCCTGCAGAATTCTCCTGTAGACGGCAAGGAATAAGGCAGTGCTGACCCCAATGACCTCCTTACTGTCGTCATTCCAAGTTCCTTTTCTGCCAAGATGGAAAGTCCCCCAACTTTCCGTTTCTATGGGGTCTATACACATCACTTTGCCTGGATAACTTCCAAACCTCCTCTGGGAACAATATGCACGTCATCATAAACGCTGTGGAGTGGAAAGGGGGCAACAAGCCCTTTAGCACTGAAGGAGAAGGGGCATGTAGAAATGGTTTACACAAATTATAAAGCACTTTACCAATCATGCTATTACTATTTAACCTCTTTCTTGATTTTTCTGATCTCTCCAACAAGTTCAGTGAGCCGCCCTCAGGCCCGACGGTTATACTATGAGTAACAGCTATCATGACCTACACTGAGATCTGGCTCTGTATCAGGCAGTGTGCTAAGCACTTTTACTGCTCAAATGCATTTTATTACCAAAACAACCCCATGAGGTAGGTGTTATTATTATTCTCATTTTTAAGATGAGGAAAATGAGGCATAGAAGTGAATTATTTAAGGCCACACAGCTAGGATGTAACAGACTCAGGATTCAAACCCAACTCTTTTTGGGTCCAGCATCTGAGATCTTCTATCTTATACCCTATAAGAAAATCTGAGCATAAACTTCCAAAAATACCATATTTTCTTCTCTCCCCACTCCCTTTACTGCCAGAATTTTGGCTAACACACTGCTCATTGGCACACTATCAGAAATTAAGTACAAGAAGGAAGGGGAGAGGAAACAGAAGGGAAACTGTTACTTGTACAGAACTGAAACTCTGATTAAAAGCTAACGGGGGTAGAGATTTAAACTAATGATTTTAAAAAGAGTTTGGAATAATGTGGATTTCAATTGTGTATTATTAACTCAATCAAGAGAACATTTGCTTTGTTCAATAATGAATTTCTTTGATGCTAGAGGCCACATTAAATAGGGATATAATGATGGATTCAGAAGCCATGGCAGAAGGATGTTTTCGAGATGTCACTGGCTATAGACGAATCCATTGTCCCACTTTGTGCTAAGTATTTCAAATTTTCAGAATGCTTCATGAACGTTAAATAAGCGTTAACCCTGTGTTGTCCGTATCATTACACTTAGGTAAGTGAGAGGAAACTGAAGAGAAAAAGTAAGCCATTTGCCCCAGGCATCCTGCCTTGAAGGTAGGCCCATAAAACACTGGCATTTCCCAAGTCAGAACGCAAGACAATGTTTAAACTCTGTTTAACACACGTATGTCCAGAATAGGCAAATCTATGGAGACAGAAGGTAGATCAGCAGTTATCTGAAGC